GGGGGGGGGGGGGGGGGGGGGGGGGGGGGGGGGGGGGGGGGGGGGGGGGGTGAACACAGACGACGCAAACACAAAAATGAGAAAAAAAAAAAGCAGTCTTCAACGACGGGAGAGAAGAGGCGTCCTGTAGTACCGAAGGTCACCACCGTTGTTACTACAGTAGAGGTTGGAGCTACACAGATCTCGTAGATCTCGTAGATAACTCACGGTGGAACTCCGCCATCTCCCACTTCTCCAGATCGATGTACTTGTCGTGCGGCAGGGTGCAGGTGTTGAAGTCCTCCATGTACTCACGGAAATACTGCTTCGTCTGAACCGACGAGAGACGAAACGAAATGAGGGAAGAGGAGACCAAAGGAGAGCAAGAGTTGTGAGGTGTAGCCGAACCGAGTACAGCAAAAAACAAAAGTGATTTGTGATGATGACGGCCGTAGACAGAGGTTCGTGAGCAGGCGTTAGATTAGGCCGCGCGATATAAACAAAAAACAAATCGAGGAACAAACAAGCTCTCTGCCCTCTTCCACGCAACGCGCCGGAAACAGCGCGTACAACCGCGACTGGTGGGAGGAGACGGATCGACACCCCTCGTGACGGGCGACACACCGCCACAACTCCTGGCACAAGGACGATGCACGAAGAAATATAATGAGTAAATGTATCTAAAAAAGGACGAACGAGTTGTGCGGAACGTCCTATTACGACGTTTGCAACCAACGTGTCAGCACGACAAGCGCTCAAGCAGTAACACGCACCTCCCATTTCGGCATGCCTCCCGTATCGTGGATCTTCTTCTGCTCCATCATCCACACCTGTCCAGACCGACGTTAATCACAGCGGACGCCACGTTTGTTGTAAGGGAAAAGAAGCCGGGAAACTTTGGGGTCTATTGTAGGTGGCAGGCAGGGGGGGAGGGGGCGCCGCGGTTCCACGGGTACAATCGTCATGCCATGCGAGCAAAAGAAGGCAAACCACATAAAAGAGGGGGGAAAAACACAACAAAAAATGACCGAATGAGTCAACAAACCAAGCAGCCCCGACAAGAACATGACACCCCGCCGCCAGCACACGCAAGGATGACGATCAGCTTCCAACAACCAATTCGCCACTCCATCTTGCCCCCCCGAAGTCGTGCTGCCCTCACTGGAGAACTTAGCCGACGGAGAGAGAAGGGGAGAGGAATATCGGGCCACAGCACACCCAGCACCAATCCTCTACAATGCTCAAGCCATGCACACCACAACACGCCCGCAACATCGGCCCCTGCCTCGCTTGGACCGCAAGACCTTCCCCTCCCCCCCCTCCCCCGGTGTTTACCATCGGGGTTGGGTTTTCGTCGCTTGGCGACGACCTTGTAAAACAACCCCCCCCCCGGTGTTTGCCATTAGGGTTGGTTTTTCGTCGCTTGGCAACGACATTGTAAAACAAGCCCCCCCTCGGTGTTTGCCATCGGGATTGGGTTTTCGTCGCTTGGCAACGACGTTGTAGAACAAGCCAATTCACTTCGTGAACTCGGCAACCAGGTCATCGGCTTTTATTTTTACCTCTGTTTTTTTTATGGCGGTAACCATGATGGTCGAGTAGATCATGTTGTGCGGGGTCGAGAACCCTCACTCCGCGCAAGGGGGATGATCGCACCACGTTGTGGTAA